CTTGTTGCTCTAGTTTATATTTTAATTTTTAAAATCAATAAATGTATAGTTTAAAAAAGTTAGATCACAGTAGACTCTAGTCTAGTAAGACATGAAATAAAAAAATGAAGAATAGTTTTATTACAGTCACAAATTGAATACTTCCAAAACCAAACCAACAAAATGCCAAAATTAGAGGTTTGTTTGTGGTGAGATCTCATAAAAACTCAAAAATACATTTTTACTTTGTTTGTTTGTCAGGTCAGAGCACACAATTATTCAAGTCAGGAAAGCTATGTCACCACGGTCTGTCCAGTTAGTAGTCTTATGAAAGTTGATGCGCATTAAAATACAAGCGAAGTTCAATGCGCGTGGTTAAACTGTTGTTTTTTATATAACGAATTTTTGTTATAAGAGGTGTCTTGGATTAACTAAAAGGCTACTCTTATATGTATTATCAAGGAAATGTTTACGGTTGACCATTTCCCTGTTAGATTATTGATTGATTCCCAAAACTGCATTCTAAAATTACAATTCAAGCAATTATTGATAAAAATGTGTATTTTTGTATTTATAGAATGAAATAAATTGTATGTTATGTTTCATTTCAATTTCATAATTTAATGTAAAAACAATAATAAAAGATTCATAAGCTAAATATGCCAAAATATAAAAATTAAAATATTTTTTTTGAAATAATAGACATAAAAAAGTAATCCCGTCACCAAGTGCCGGGTACTATAAAAAACAATTCAAAGTAGTTTAGATAAAAATGTTGTTTTTGTTGGTTCTTACTTAATTATTATGATTATTTTGTATTGATTGCATATCATTTATGTGTTTTTAGTAATAATAATTCAATTGGTAAAGATATAGTTACAATAAGTTGTTTTGGTTGACTCTTTATTCAATACACAGTCAGAGTATATAGTTTCAAATAATTAATCATATTTTTCTATTATTTGGTTTTTGTTCAAATAAAATAAAAAACAACAAGTAAAATACTTGTTGTGTTTTACGTTTATAATGTGTTTATTGTTCTTTAATTACTATTTTATTGCAAAATTATCCATTTCCAAAATTTGCAACTAATGACAACTTTTACTTTATACTTTTATCTTTGTTCTGAGTCGGGTAATGATTATGGCATTATGATTTTTTTGGTTTTTTAAATGAATTTTTCAATAAAGTTTATTGTGTTGCATATAGTATAACACCAACAAGGTGTTGTCTTATATTATTGAAAATTGATTGTAAATAAATAATATGTTCGCTTTAAAACATCAAAAAACTAAACATACCTTTATTATTAACAAAACTTGGTATTTTGTTTATTTTTATGTCATCCTGTAAGATGACATGTTTTCAATAATTTACATGACAAAGTTATCAACATGAATAAATGTTCAAATAAATAAAATAACACATATACAATATTAAAGATATAAATATAATTATTAAATAAAATTATAGTTAAATAATGATTATTAATGACATTGTTATTCTCAGCTATTTATTGTAACTTTCGTGTGATTGAGTTATCATTATATTGAAACAAAAAAAT